CTTGTAACGTTGTACACCTGTAACTTGTAGCTTCTAACTTCTAACGTAAAAGTGAGGAGATTGAGATGGTAAATATAAGGTGATAGGTATTTCTGAATACCAAATGTGTATGTGATCCAAACTTCAAAACTCAAACTTTCAAGCTCAAACTTGATCATATGTGATCAATTATCAGATATATTCTGAATCCTGATGTATGGTTTAATTATTCAATATAGTCAATGAAATGGTAGTGTTAGACAGTCGACTCATAACTCAGAGCTGCTGCTATAATTATAAACTATATTATAATCGTAATGGCATAGTACTTTTACCAGATATATAAATATACATAAGTCTGGACTAGCTTTGGTTCAATACATTAATTGAAAGAACGACGTCACTCTCATGATCATTCGTAGCTCTCACTTTTCCAAAGAACTTTTCTGGCTGAAATTTGGTCATCATTCCGTATCCCTAATTAAGCACCTCTATATATAAAATTATAGGTTATAATTTATAAAAGTACTTATAATGAAGTTAATAATTACATTACTGTATAGAATTTGGTTGTCAAAGGTCGAAAGACTGATTACAAAATTACACGTACGTAATACATTCTACGGTCTACCGTAGAAAATGAGCCATTTTTGACATGCCAAATCGAGTACTAATAGTTTCCAGAAACAGTGTTGTTAAGTCGCAGGTCGATCTTGTCAGGAATTTGACTATTTATTATTCAGTAACACTATGTATTATGTACTATGTAGAAAAGATACGGCGAGAGCGGATGTTCCTGTGTCTGGACTTTGGACTCTGTATTTTTGAGTGGGACAGAGGGGCATGTCCGCTATAAGTTGTCTATTTAACCTTTCATATAGTTTTATGGTATACTCATTAGTACGTAATTTCTATACTGTAGTATGTACTCAATGGCTTAGTTAACATAAATTTGAGATATGAGAGGTCTCAAATTGCAGAATAATCCTTCATGATTTTTCCAATCATGGCGACCATGAGCACTGAAATATGTATCTAATTGTAAGCCATAGCTTGGAATTTGGAAAATTGGTGACAATTCTTGTCACGCAGCCATGAATAAAGTATTATACCTTAGCAATCCAAGAGTAGGAAGCGATTCCATGAAAACAATACAGTATTAACAAGAATTAGCAGTAGTGCTGGTAAATTATAATCCAAGAGTTTAGTATCATCTATACATGAATCCAATATGTACTGCTATATCACTTGAGCTCAAATTAAATAACAAGTGATGATCATTATGAAAGTCCAGCTTCCAATAACTATTCCCAGCAGAAGTATTGAAATTAAACGAGTCAACGTAACTATGCAGCACTATATTCTTTTATAAGCTCATCAGTCACGATACAACACAAGCTACAGCGTCACAGCTCAAACTTCATTCACTCAGCTTGTTCATCATTAGCAATCAGCAAAACTGTGAGCGAATGGCCATCTGAATAGCACCTACTAATACTAGTAGATACCTATGAACTCATTACTTGACAAGTGACATTGACAAGCGGAATTGTACAGATTATACCAGCGATCGTTCAACGGTTAAATTTTGAATGGGTATACATTTTTACTTTCCTTGGTATTGCTTATTGCTCAATGCTTATGCTATCTCCTGAGTCAGCAATTACGTAATTAATACGTACTTATAGGAATATATTTAAAGAGTTTAATTAAAACTATATACTTTCCAAAAATCTCTTGAAAAACAATCTATAAAGCTATTTTTTGGCTATATTTTTTAATAGATGTAGTTTAAGGGTCGATTTCAAGATTTCGAAATTTTGTAAAATTTTGGTCTTAAAGTTTCAAAACAAATTCAAACTTTTTATGATCCCCAAATTCAAAACAGCCCAAATTATTATATAAATTTTTTTCCAAAATATTAACAATCAATCCAATTTTCAAGTTAGCAATAATATATATAATTAAGCATCTAGTATTATAATTTTGATAATGGCTCCTAAAGTTTGATATATATAATTATTAATATTATGTAATACATTACTAAGCCGAGCATATACAATTATACCCTATAGACTATAGATTATAAATTAAATGCAAAAAAATATTTAACTTTGATTCGTATGAAAATTATAGATCGTATATATTTAGGTTAATTGTTTATTACATCATGCTATAATTATAATATATTAACGTTCCCTCTCATGAGCACTGGTGACTCGTGAGTAGAATAATTAACGGATCTTGAAAAATGTAACGAGCATGATAATATTAATTAATCAGGAAGATCGAGCCAAATTTGGTACGCAAGTTGCTCCATTAAAAGCGACCAATAAATGAATAATATTAAAATTTGGCCCCATTCAAGATGTCCAAAACTTTTAATTTTAGTGCTTCTAGGGAAGAAGCATCTCTCTGATTATCGATGTTTTTGATAAAGAACTGCAAATCGGATACGTTATTGAAGTGTTAGAAATTATAATACCTTCACTCTATGGTACAGCCTCAAGCTACGCTCTCTGATTAAAGAATGACTAGTGTATATAGATCAATAGCGCATGATTCAATTGTATTAGAAATTGCTAGCTTAAAACCCATGTTCCACTAATTTTCAAGATCCAAGTTTCAAGTTCTAACCTTCCATATTTTGATAATCTATATAGTTTAATTATTCAAAACACATATACCATCAGTTGCCAGTAGCTCCCGTATTGACTCTTAACTATGATTATTTCAGGTTTTCATGTTGTACAAATATAATGTAGAATTTATATTTTACAAGTTTAATGCCGTAATAAACTAGCTGAGCCTGGTAGCCTGGGCCGTGTAGGTAGGTGTCAGCCTAAGTTCAGGTGGACCGTGAAAGGATAAATAGATACATAAAAGTGCATAACCGTTTGATACAGACACTTAACACTAAATCTTGTCGTCTTGACATGTCCGCAAATTGTACATCCTAATCCCGACATGATCGTAAAAGTGGATCCGCCGTTCAAACTTCACAGTGAATTTGTAATTGTACTACTTGAAGGCTGAAGCTACCACCTTCATTTTTTTCAAATTCCATGATTTGGTATTGATAATTAAGGGAACCGCAAATTATTGAAGCTGATGATATAATATGACCAATTACTTACAGACAGGACTAAGGAGTACTAAATATACCTATCGAATACTACCAGCTAGAGGCTATACTTACCCCCAGCTAGTATAAGATAGATTGTACCATTGATGATTGTACCAGTAGGCGCTGTCAAACCTCAATCGAACGCCACGTAGTGACGTAGATAATTAACAAAGATACTCACATGATGATGTCCATGAGTTACCAAACAATATTCACGACTAGTCACGAGTCACGACTCACAAGTTTATACAACTAAGCCGCTGTTCTAACGTATTTCATGTACAACAATATATTAATTACTCACGTCGTCCTTCTAGTAATTTCCAGCATATTGAAAACTATATTAAATTAAATTATAAATTATACATTAACAGCTCACAACGGTAATTACAATTAAAGACACCGAATGTAGTCCACTGAAATTAGCTAGACATTATGTGTACTCGAAAATGATCGATAATATTAGAAGCTAAGTAAGTCGAACCATGTACGAATTAACTTGATAATTATATAGATCTCAGCCATTATTTGAAATTTAATCGAGGCTATAATATGCTTTCTGAAGCACAGATCTTGTAACTTTATGATAGTAATGTAAGCTGTTGATAGATCCGGCAAGATTGAAAAACCCAGGGAAGAAATTTTCAGTGACATTATTTTTAAGAGCTAACTTTGAATTCGTTATACATTGCGTGCATACTGCGGGCAAATTATACGGGATGTTTAGATCTAGAATTTGAATAATTTTCAAATAGTACTACTACTTAAAATATTCACGATTCACTTAAATTATAAGAATTTATGGAACAGCTTAGATCAGTTGGGCACTTCAGTTCATATAATCTTTGAATTAATTTGAGAATTATTATGTTAAGCTGGCCATAGAGATCTTATACGAGAATTATAGTATACTAGTTATAATTGATCATGAATATTATTCACAAGATGGATCATTTAAATAGACTTAAAAGCATATTCGAGTCGCCGAAGCCAGCTAGCTTGGATATGAAAGTCGAACGTAAGCCATGTTAAATGGATATCTCGATAGATATTAGGCCGGAGTACTTATAACGTTTAATTGGATATTAAGACATGTATATATCACGACAGCTTCTGAGAAGTTCTAACCTGCCTGTACTAGTATAGCCTATGATTTCAAATACCACTTTAAACTCTGTAACTTGTAACAACTTGTACTAATTTCTTGTGAGCTGATCGATATAATGAAGCGATTCATGAATTAGTCTTATAATCGAAAGATATGGCCAACTAATTGAAATCATGATATAAACTATATATATGATAACAGATCTATATACGTTAATATTAACTAGTCTAGCGCTACTCGTGACTATACGCACTTGTAAGATGTATTATGAGTATCAAACAACGCATAACATTGATCAACCAGCTTGGTAGAGAGTTATGAAAGTCGTCAGGAGAACCAACTAATATAGGTGTCAAAGTTTATCACCAAATTATAGCTAAGTCCGATAATAAGTATTAGCCGTATCTTTATGAGGGTTCGAGATCGTAAATTAAACCTGTCATTTGTCCGAAGATAAGTGTAGTTGATATCAGATCATAAAAGAGTAGATAAAGCCTAAAGGCTCTGAGGTTTATCACTGGGTTCCTGAGGTCTTAAAAGCACAAGATCATCGATCAAATGATTCTTAGCCACACTAAAACTCATCATGATTCTTCTTTATCATCATGTTGTATGCGCATCCGATTTTGACCGCCACACTTTTTTTCTAAGTTGGGTGATCAAAGCTTCAGACTGAACCGGTATCAAAATTAATCGATAATAATTAAATCGGATCATGAGATTAAAGTGAACCAAACGTCAAGGCCACTTACAGGTTAGATTATAGAAGGGGCTCTTAATTCAACTATGGTCAAGAAGTATTCAAGAATAGCAATCATTGGAGGTGGTCCAACAGGGTTAGCAACTGCAAAGGCATTAGGTGTTGAAGGTTTCCCTCAGATTGATTTATTTGAAAGAAAAGATCAAGTTGGTGGACTTTGGAATTATAATGGTGAATTAAAGACAAAATGGGAAACAAATATTCCAAATGTGCATTATAAAGATGAAGACAAGTATATTGGTGATGCTGTTGATGAATTTCAACAAATTAAAGAAGTACCAAGTCCAATGTATAAACATTTAGAAACCAATCTTTTCAAAGAAATGATGGCATTTAAAGATTTTCCTTTTCCTAAAGAACTTGAGAGCTATCCAACAAGACAAGAAGTTATCAAATATCTTGAAAATTACTCCAAAACTATTTCAAAAGATGTTAAATTCAATTTGAATTCAAATGTTGAAAGTGTTGAAAAAAAAGCTGATATTTGGGAAGTTAAAGTTTCAATTAATGGGTCTGAAGTTGAAACTAGGAAGTATGATGCAGTTGTTTTAGCGAATGGTCATTATAATCATCCATTCATCCCAGATACCAAAGGAATTAAAGAATGGAATGCCAAATATCCAAAATCAATAATTCATTGTAAATATTTTGATGATTGTTTACCATTTAAAAACAAAAGAGTCATTGTTGTAGGTAATTCTGCTTCAGGAGTAGATGTCGCTATTCAATTAACTACATCAGCTTCTAAAGTGCTCAATTCTGTTAGAAAGAAGGCAGAAATTGCAGACTTAAAATGCAAATCGATTGAAGAAATTGATGAAATCATTGAATATGATTATGAAAATAAAACTATTAAGACTATAAATGGTGATATTTTTAAAGATATAGATCATATTATTTATTGTACGGGTTATTTATATTCATTCCCTTTTTTGAAAAGTTATTTGGAAGGTAAAGATGCCTTACTAACAGATGGTCAAAGAGTTAGAAATCTTTACAAACAATTATTTTATATTCCAGATCCAAGTCTTGTATTTGTTGGAATACCAGCTAACGTTGTTATATTCCCATTTTCTGAAAATCAAGCAGCTTTTGTTGCTAGAGGATTATCAGGAAGATTAAAGTTCCCAAGTGAAAAGGAACAAAGAGATGAAGAATCAGAAAGATTGAAAATTAAAGGTGATGTAAAATCTTTCCATTTCTTACCACCACCTGAAGATTCACAATATTGTCATGATTTACAAAAAACTATAGATGAACAAGGGTTAAAAGATGGATTTGAAGGAATTATATGGGATGAAACAAAACTTGAAATGAGAAGACAAGTTGGTCCTAGAAAAGCTCAAAGATACTTAGATGTTGTTGAGCATGTTAATGGATTGATTGCTAAAGGAGAACCTTTTAGGTTACTAAGGGAAAAAATATGAATTATGTATCAAGTTCTCAGATTGGAATCGATAGATATATAAACTAGGTGTGTATAAATTGTCCATGAATTGTATACTAACTATTCTATAACGCATTCATTTAAGGTATATCCGCTATATAGTAGATCTACTTTCGGTACTTATATATAAGGTGTAATTTAAAGTTTATGTGTACGCATTCTTTACGTTAAATTATAATTAATAAGTATATTTAAGGTTATACTAGTTATATTACTTGAGCTAATCGCAGTGATTTCCCAAAAGGGATATGAACCCGTATCGACCGTACTGTAATATCTTTCATTTTCATGTGATCCTCCGTTTGTGATTTAACTCCGTCTTTCAACCAAAGAAAGCGGGCGAGCATAATCATTGTTACAGCGGGATTTGGTGGGATTGTCGTAGTTTAATCAGAATTCAAAATTGTGGAAATGATGAGTTTGAAGAGGGATTATAGTGATGTTTAGTTGTAGTGATTAAGGATACGAAATTGTAAGTAGGTAAATATACGCTACATGTCCTTTCAGAATGTTGTTAGTCTTAAACTCGGAAACTGTTGTGGTAGTTTACGTTTCACCGGAAGATTTGAATTGTCAACACGGGCTTATTATTTTGGGGATCCGCAGCGATTCGAGAAATAAGAAGTTGAAGTTTGAAAAGAAATTAGTGTAGAGCTTTGAACTTTGGACTTTGAACCCTTCCGATTAACTTTGGAAGCCTGAGACACTAATAAGTTTGAACTTATAACTTCTTCCCACTGTACAGTAATTGTCAGTTCAAAGGCCCTAGTTATTTGAGAAAAGAAATCTACCAAATCATCCCTGTTCCAACTTCCCACTGTGGATAAAGTGATTAGTTCAAACAATTTTAATTTAGAAGTGGGTTTTGATCAACTGGAAAATTCGAATTGGTACATACAATTGCTTATTCCACAATCATTTGAAGATAATTTTATCACGCTGATCAGATTCAAAAGTATAACATTCATGAAAACTGGAATCTAGACTTTTTAGTTTCCCACTTGATTATTATTTATATTAAACGTTCATCGGTGCTTCAAAATATCATTATACACCGATAAAGTTCTTCTAATTTTAAACTTCCACATCAACGTTCAAATAATCAGTGAATCTCACCAAATAACGGTTTAACAACAAAGAATACCCGAAAAGTATTGAATACTTGAATATCACCAGAATTTACATATTTTCACGTTCTTTCAAATACATTCAATCTAAAGTTTTCCGGTGTTTATGTTCACACGTCGCTATTAAAAAAAATTGTTGTCAAACTTTATTATAAAACACGGTTATATATCAGGAAAAAACCACACAGGAGGCAAAAATTTATATATCAGACATATTAAGTGTTATGCTTTCAACTTATTCATTACAAGCGCCATCATTCAGCAATCATAACCAATCAGAATCAAATAAATCTATACCAGAACTAAACCCAATACAGAATATGGATCTATCTAAAAAAGATTTTGAAGTTAATCAATTACAAGGTTCATCACCCGTTATTAATAATATAAACAATGAATCGGATGATCCAAATAAACATTCATATTCGTGCAAAAGATGCAGAAGATTAAAGAAAAAATGTACAAGAACTATACCCGAATGTCAAAATTGCTTTAAAGCAAATGAAACTTGTGAATATGTTCCTAGAGCTCCAAGAAGAAAAAAAGCTGAGATTTTAAGAAGCTTAAAAGAACAACAAGAACAACAAGAACATAGAGAAAATATACAGGCCCAAGCTCAAGTTCAGGCTCAAAGTTCTTCATCTTCAACCCCAGTCTTAAGAACTCAAGAACCTTTATCAATCCCCAAGGTCAATCCACTTCAAACATCTCCACAGAACGTACCAATAATCTCACATCAACAAGGATATTTAGATCACAATAATTCAAGATCTTATAACATGGGCTCAACTGATCCTTTTTCATATAAATCTACTTCCGCATTGCCACCATTAAGTTCAATAACAACAAATATTTCAACTAATGGTCAAGTACCTCAACAACAATATTCCCACTATAATAATACCAATACCACCATCACATCAACAGGAACAACAAAATCACCACAATTTACATATCATATAAGTCCTCCACACTCTAGACCTGGATCTGATGAATTTCAAATACAGTCTTTTAACAAATCACCTATATTCCCACAATCACAACAACAGAACTTACAACCTCATATTCAACCTCAATTACAACTTCAACAACAAACTCAACCTCAAGGATCATCCATGATTCAAAATAAATTATTAAATTCAATATTAGGTATAGATAATTCAAATCAATCTTCATATGTTTTACAAGAATCAATAACCCCCAAACCAAACATTGATCCAGTATTTATTATAAACCTTGTTAAAGTGTTTTTCAATGAACATTTCCATTCATATCCATTCATAAATCGTTCTCAAATTTTGGAAACTATAATGACTTTTGGAATTGATAAAATTGATACATGGCCTATACAAGAATCTTTTGAAATTTATATGATTTTATTCATTTCTTATTGTTCATTAGAAAGAATTGGTCAAATTCAAACTGATTTAGTTATGAAGAAATATTTAATTTCCAAATCAATTGAACAATCTGGTAATGTTATTACATTTGATGATATTAATAGCATTAAATATTTGATTTTATTAGGAATTTATAGTTTATATGATAACCAAGGGTTCACATCTTGGCATATAGCTGGTAATATAACAAGATTAGTTATTAGTCTTGGATTAAATAGAAATAGCGGATATAAGACAAGAATAGCTGGTAATAATGAAGTTCAAAGATCAGAAAATGAATTCAACAATAGAATTTTTTGGAGTGCTTATAATTTTGATAGATTGGTTTCAACTTCAATGGGTCGTCCTTTTGGTATTGATGATGATGATGTTAGTATATCTTTCCCAAGTAAATTAGCCGATGAGGATATTTATGATATTGAATTAATTGCTGCAATTATAAGTTTAAGAAAAATTGAAGGAAAAGTTTTAAAAAATGTTCATAGTGTTAATTCATCATTAAAAATTAATAATGAATTTGAAAAATTTGATATATTGAAAAATTTAAGAATTGAAATTGAAGATTGGTATAATTTAACAAATAATTTAAGTGGTTTATCAAATAATTCATCAAATAATAAGAATTCAATTTATAATGTTTCTTGGTTCACATCTCATTATTATCAATTAACAATGATGCTTTATAGACCTTCATTCCTAATACCAAACCCATCAAAAGAAACATTACAAATCTTGGGTAAATCATGTTTACAAGCTTTAGGTTATATCTATAACTTACACACTAGTCGTTTATTACAACCAAATTGGGTAAATGTGTACAGGTTTTTAACAACTTGTACCACAATAATTTATTGTTTATGTCATTGGTGTATTGATTTAGTTGAATCCAAAACAGAAATTAATCTATGTATTGAGATTTTAGATTTTTTTGCAGAAAGATGGCCAGTTGCAGCAAGATCTGTTCAAGTTTTCAAAAATATTAATAAGGCTATCTATGATCTTAAAGTTACACATGATTGGCAATTAAATGATCCAAATGAATTAACTAATAAATTTTTTGAAGCTAGTGCAAATTATCATGATGTTTTGAATAATAATAATATTGATATTTGGTTTGATGATCCTATAATTAAGAATTCTGAACATTAATTAACATGTTGATCTATATTATGCTTTAGCTCTATTTATTTTCAATTCATTTTTCAATATAAATGCCGTTTTCATTTTTTAATATATATAATGTTCATGATAATGATAATATAATTTGTACTACAGAATTTAAACCACGATAACTTCTTCTAACAGCAAACCTATGATTATAATATACAGTGATTTTTTTTCTTTAATAAACAATATTCATGATAAAACCTATTATTTTTTAGCAGCAACTTTTGCTAATTCATCTCTATTTTGAAAAAAAAAGTTAGTATAATGTGATCTCCAATTTCAATGGCAAATTTGAATTCAAACATACTTTAATTCCTTTGTGAAATTATCGTTAACATCAGTATCATCCCAATCTTCTACCCAAAGAGTCTTTTCACCTTCTGTACCAACGGCTTGATCTTCTGGCCAGTCTAAACGTAAAATAGTTAGTATATCTTCAGATCATTAATAAGTAGTTTCATACTCACCTTCAGTTTGGAAATCTTCAAATTCATCATCTTCCTCTAGAGATTGAATGACTTTTTGCTTTTCAGCATCTAAAGCATCTTTTTGTTGTTCTTGAGCAGACATTCTCACTAATTTTAACAGTATTTTACACTGATCTTTTACTTGATATTGTTTACTTATTATTGTGCCACTGACTTTATTATTACCTATGTTCGATTCCCAGATTCTCAGATTCGCAGGGTAAATTCCCGCGAATTCATAATAATCATTTTACAAAACCGATTCGCGAATCGAAATGCACTGTCAGAATTTCGAGTGTCAAGAATCACAAATCACTTTTCGCGACAAAGAAAAAAAAATTCAGCTTTTTTAGTTAAGCGCTAAAGTTATAAGCTATTAATTAAAACAAAAGACATCAGTCAAAACATCAACGGGACTTTATCGATTTTGTTATTGAAAAAGTGTTCAACAGGAGCTTTGTCAATCAGATCCCAAAATCAAAACAGACAAAAAGATCCAAAGTCCTATCGTCAACCGTTGCGGCAATCCTTTTGGCTTATAAATTCTTCATATAGTTTATACTACTTTTGAAAAGAACTTTTGAAGATGAAGGAAACGGTTGTTGATGTTGCACCAAAATGTATCAAAGGTATTGAGTTTGGTGCTCTTTCAGAAAAAGACATCGTGGCACAATCTGAAGTTGAAGTTTCCACAAGAGATTTATTTGATTTAGAAGAAGGTAGAAAACCTAAAAAAAATGGTGCTTTAGATTCTCATATGGGTATTTCTTCAAATTCTTCAGAATGTTCTGTTTGTAAAGGTAATCTTGCAACTTGTCATGGTCATTTTGGTCATCTAAAATTACCTTTACCTGTGTTCCACGTTGGTTATTTCAAAGCTACTATTCAAGTTTTACAATCTATTTGTAAATCATGTGGTTCAATGTTATTAGATGAAGAAGCTAAAAGACAATTTAGATTGGAGTTAAGAAGGCCAGGTATTGATAATTTGAGAAGAATGGGTATATTAAAGAAAATCTTGGATCAATGTAAAAAGCAAAGACGTTGTTTAGATTGTGGTGCTGTTAATGGTGTTGTTAAAAAAGCAGCAGCAGGTTCTGGTACTGCATCTTTAAAAATTGTTCATGATACTTTTAGATGGATCGGTAAAAAACCTACAATAGAAAAAGGTGAATGGGATAAAGATATAGAAACTGCAGTTCATAACAATCCTGATATTGAAAGATTTGCTAAAAGATGTATGGATGATTTAAACCCTTTGAAAGTTTTAAATTTATTTAAACAAGTTAAACCTGAAGATTGTGAATTGATGGGTATTGATTCAGGTAGAGGTGGTAGACCTGAAACTTATATTTGGAGATACTTACCTGCACCACCTGTTTGTATACGTCCATCTGTTATGATGAGTGATTCCCCAACTTCAAATGAAGATGATTTAACTGTCAAATTAACTGAAATTGTCTGGACAAGTTCTTTAATTAGAGCTGGTATAGAGAAGGGTATTTCAATTAATAATTTGATGGAGCAATGGGATTATTTACAATTATCTGTTGCTATGTATATTAATTCAGATGCTGCTTCACCTGCAATGTTACCAGGTGCAAGTGCAGCTGCTAAATCTGCAAAACCTATTCGTGGGTTATGTCAAAGATTAAAAGGTAAACAAGGTCGTTTTAGAGGTAATTTGTCAGGTAAACGTGTTGATTTCTCAGGTCGTACTGTTATTTCTCCAGATCCAAATTTGAGAATTGATGAAGTTGCTGTTCCTGATAGAGTTGCAAAAGTTTTAACTTATCCAGAAACTTGTACAAGATATAATAAAGAAAAATTACAAAGATTAATCTTGAATGGTCCAACTGAACACCCAGGTGCTAATTATTTATTGAAGAAAAATGAAGATGCTCGTCGTAATTTAAGATATGGTGATCGTAATAAATTGGCCAAAAATCTTCAATATGGTGATGTTGTTGAAAGACATTTAGAAGATGGTGACGTTGTTTTATTCAATAGACAACCTTCATTACATAGATTATCAATTTTATCACATTATGCTAAAATCAGACCTTGGAGAACTTTCAGATTAAATGAATGTGTTTGTACACCATATAATGCTGATTTTGATGGTGATGAAATGAATTTACATGTTCCACAAACTGAGGAAGCAAGAGCTGAAGCCATCAACTTAATGGGTGTTAAGAATAATTTATTAACTCCAAAGTCTGGTGAACCAATTATTGCTGCAACTCAAGATTTCATTACTGGTTCATATTTAATTTCTCATAAAGATTCTTTCTTTGATCGTGCTACATTTACACAATTATTATCAATGATGTCTGATGGTGATTTACAATTTGATTTACCACCACCAGCGATTCATAAACCTGTTTATATGTGGACTGGTAAACAAGTTTTCAGTTTATTAATTAAACCAAATAAAAAATCACCTGTTGTTATCAATTTAGACGCTAAAAATAAAGCTTTTACACCACCTGCAAAAGGTTTACCAATGGAAATGTCACCAAATGATGGGTTTGTTATTATTAGAGGGTCTCAAATTTTAAGTGGTGTTATGGATAAATCTACATTAGGGGATGGTAAAAAACATTCTGTTTTCTACACAATTTTAAGAGATTATGGTCCTAAAGAAGCTGCTACTGCTATGAATAGAATGGCTAAACTTTGTGCTAGATTTTTGGGTAATAGAGGTTTCTCAATTGGTATTAGTGATGTTACTCCAGGTGTTGCTTTGAAAAATACCAAGGAAGAAATGGTTGAAGCTGCTTATGCTAAGTGTGATGAATTAATTAAATTATACTCTGAAGGTAAATTAGAAACTCAACCTGGTTGTAATGAAGAACAAACTTTAGAAGCTAAAATTGGTGGTTTGTTATCAAAAGTTAGAGAAGAAGTTGGTGAAGTTTGTATTAATGAATTGGACTCCTCTAATGCTCCATTGATCATGGCTACTTGTGGCTCTAAAGGTTCTACATTAAATGTGTCACAAATGGTTGCTGTCGTCGGTCAACAAATTATTTCAGGTAATCGTGTTCCTGATGGGTTCCAAGATCGTTCTTTACCTCATTTCCCAAAGAATTCTAAAACTCCACAATCTAAAGGTTTCGTTAGAAATTCTTTCTTTTCAGGTTTAAGTCCTCCAGAATTCTTGTTCCACGCCATTTCAGGTCGTGAAGGTTTAGTCGATACTGCTGTTAAAACTGCTGAAACTGGTTATATGTCACGTAGATTGATGAAATCATTAGAAGATTTAAGCTGTCAATATGATAATACTGTTAGAACTTCAAGTAATGGTATTGTTCAATTTACTTATGGTGGGGATGGTCTTGATCCTTTTGATATGGAAGGTGATGCTAAACCTGTCAATTTCAATAGAACTTGGGATCATTCCTATAATGTTACATTAGATGTCAATGAACGTTCATTATTACCATATGAAGTTATTGAAGTTGTTGAAGAAGTTTTACAACCATTGGAAAAGAAACTTATTAGATATGATAACTTGGGTAACCAATTGGAAGGTAAAGATGCTGAAAAAATTGAGTTTATTGATCAAAATGATGCTAAAAGAGGGTTCTACAATTCCATTCGTGAATTCTTTGCTAGTAAAGCTGCTAGACTTGCAAGAGTTAGAGAACAAAAGAAATTACATGGATATCTTGAAAAACCTGCAGATGAATCAGCACAAATGGATCTAGATGAAGGTTCAAGTGAAGCTGCGTTAACTGCAGTTAATCAATTGGCCAAAATTACAAAGAAATGTGTTAAGAAGTTCTTGGATATTACATTAATCAAATATAGTCGTGCTCAGGTTGAACCTGGTACAGCTGTTGGTGCCATCGCTGCTCATTCTATTGGTGAACCTGGTACACAAATGACCTTGAAAACTTTCCATTTTGCTGGTGTTGCTTCTATGAATGTTACATTAGGTGTTCCTCGTATTAAGGAAATTATTAACGCTTCCAAAGTTATTTCAACTCCTATTATTAATGCTGTTTTGGTTAATGATGACGATGAAAGAGCTGCAAGAGTTGTTAAAGGTAGAGTTGAAAAGACATTATTATCAGATATTGTTTACTATATCCAGGATGTTTATAAGGATGATATGTCTTATATCCAAGTTAAAGTTGATTTGAAGACAATTGAAAAATTACAATTAGAATTGACAATGGATGATATTGCTGTTGCAATATCAAGAGCTCCAAAATTGAAAATTCCAGGTGGTGATGTTTCAGTTGTTGGTAGAAATAAAATTAATATCAATGTTTTCCCAGAAGGTGCCAGGGCCAAATCAGTTAGTACATCAGCTAAAGAACCTCTTGAGAATGAACTTTTCTTCAGAATGCAACATTTACGTCGTGCTTTACCAGGTGTTACTGTTAAAGGTTTCCCAGATATTGCAAGAGCCGTTATTAATGTTCGTGATGATGGTAAAAAGGAATTATTGGTTGAAGGTTATGGCTTACGTGATGTTATGTGTACAGACGGTGTTATTGGTACTAAAACAAAAACTAATCATATTCTTGAAGTTTGGCAAGTGTTGGGTATTGAAGCTGCAAGAGGTAGTATCATTAATGAAATTGATTATACCATGTCTAATCACGGTATGAGTGTCGATCCTCGTCATATTCAATTGTTAGGTGATGTTATGTCTTATAAGGGTGAAGTTTTAGGTATTACAAGATTCGGTTTAAGTAAAATGAGAGATTCTGTCTTACAATTGGCTTCTTTCGAAAAGACAACAGATCATTTATTCGATGCTTCATTCTATATGAAATCAGATGCAGTTGAAGGTGTTTCTGAATGTATTATTTTGGGTCAAACTATGGCCATTGGTACTGGTGCTTTCAAACTTGTTAAACAAACCCCTATTGAAGACAGTGAATTGAAACAAAAAGATACCTTATTTGAAGACTTATGTGAAAGTACTCAAATTTCTGTTTGAAGTTGACAAAATTTTATTGAAAAAGTAGACAAAACCACAAAAAAAAACCACAAAAACTTTATTGTATTATAGATTTATATTATAAATAGCTGGTTCTTTCACCAAAAGAAGGAACAATTTTTTAACGAATCCATGTTTAATAGTATTTATAATCACTTGTAGTTGTTTATCTCAGTATTCTAGCAGCCGGTGTTTGGAAATTTTGATTTCTTTGAGTAGTTTTATTGATATTTGAAACATTCATTGGTGTTGTAAATTCAAATGATGGAAGAGAAGCAGAGCGGTTGGATTCTTGTTGGACATGAGATTCATTTTGCTTTGCTTGTTCATTTTGGTTCATTGGTGTTATATCTTCAAAATCATATAGATTATCAATTTTTTTGAAAAGAGAATCATCATGATGGTCCTCTATAGCTTTCGTATTATCATTCAAAAACTTGTGAACATCAAGATCCTTCCAAACAGGTGTTTTATTCTTCTGTTGAGATCTCAGAATACCGAATATGTTTTGATTTATCAGTGGTGAATCTTCTTCATCTTCATCACCAATCTGTGCGCCGGGAACTTCAATATCTTCATCAGGAAGCTCATCATGAACCCAGCCTGTAATATAAAGTGCGTGCTGTGACTTTTGTAAGTGGATAAAGCTTGAGGATGAGTCTCTATAAGCCATTATTGTATGCAGTTGTTTTGAAGTGTTTGTTAATGTTCAAATAGTTGTTTACATTTTTAGATCTTTTTGATTTTTATGGAAGTGATTTACCGCGCTTTGTAATTGACACATTCATCATCGTACTAGTGTATCTGGGAATTTGAAATTAGCTACATTAAATGGTTCTTAATTATAACGTTAAAATTCATTTGAATAAATATATATAAAGTTGTATAAAAATTTGATAGCTCGTTAAATTGAAAGGATATCGTATATCACGCAGAATATAGGTTGAAAGTAAAAGTTAAGATGGAAACTTAAGCAGTAACAGCAAATGCACTAGCGTAACTGACACTACTATCACGAGCAGAAGTGGCTTGACTACTTTGACTATATCCAATCCATTCAAATTTCCCCCAGTCATCATCATATGTTCCCTCTTCTTTAACTTTCTCAATAGTTTCTAACAGTATAGCAATTGGTCTTTGACCGCAAATTGTGTTTCCAGTGACTTTTATATAATCTTTCCAATCCTTCGAAGAGCCTGTTGAAGCAATTCTTGTTGCAAGTATATCTAAAAACTCAATTGATTTATGAATACTTAATCCACCTGAAGGAACTTTAGTAGTATAACTTAAGTCTTTCAAATCGTCTAAGGTACCCTTTCCTGTATACGCTGTATAACCGAATCTTGACCCCCAATGACAAAAATCACTACTTATAACAAAAGTATTAGCCTCATCCTTCAAATATTCCGATAATATAGATGATATTTTTTTATTAAAGTTTTCATCAGAATGTGAAATCATGATTGGAACAATAGATGGTATACCTTGAGGAATATTTTGTGTCAGTTTGTAGATATAAGGGGCATGCATTTCAAAACTGTGTTCATCTTCATCCACCTCCAAACTCATTTCTTTAAAAATTTTGTTATTTTTCAAAGAATCAACAACTTCTCTATCAACTGGTAAGTTTCCAAAAGGGGTTTCATACTCATCCACACCACTTAACAAAGCAACATTCTTAAAATAGACATGATGTGAAGGGCCTAAAATGAAAACTCTCTTGACTTTAGAGGTATCCCATGCCTGATATGTCTCTGCTAGCGTAGAACCAGCATATGTATATCCAGCATGAGGTCCAATCAATAACCTTGCTCCCGCCACTGATTGTGGAGCTGCTTTCAAGTACTCATCTAATTGCTTGTTCAGTTTTAAAGGATTAGCCGAATACCATGCTCCAGCATGAGAAGCCGCTCTAACACTCATATTCCAAGTGTCTTTAGAGTATTGTTATGGATTGTTGTTCTCTTCTATTCTTTTGAAATACTTAAACAGTCCCTTAAAGCTCATTTCGGTTATCGAAAAGTGAATTTTGATAAGTTTTCATTCGTGTATAGAGTAGGTCGGATATATGCATTCACGTGAAGAAGACTACATAATTCCGACCAATGCTAAAATAATAAGATTTTATATATTTACTTTTGTGTCAAATACACTTTCCCATTTACGAATGGCATCTAACGGAGTTTTGCCACTAATGGGAATTATGATTGATTTAATAGAAAGGGAAATTAGTGTAAGTCAAGGCTTATCAGTGGTTGGCTGTCTTAAAGTTAGAGATCTCCAGGTTGTTGTAATTCTTGATTGAAGTTAAGAAAGAAAAGTTGATTGATTATGCTTTTGTGTCAGGCTACTCTTTTGTTTTTATTATTCATATGCTCTACCCAGGCTTATCAAAACAGTGTTTATGATTCATTATTAAAATATGCCTACATATCAAAGATCAGTTACTGCATAGACCTTCTAAGAGGTGAACATGATTTATCAGAACCTATAGTGCTCAAGCCCAAACCTTTAGGGTTCTCCCAAGCTGGTTTCAATACAACGGATTATTCTGCAGTGCCTACTGAAGAAACTGATTTACATTTGGCAAAACTATTGAAAAAAGGGAATAAATCTAGTGGTGTTCATAGTGCCGATGATCATAATGATAGTGATCAAGACGATGATCTAGAGATTTCCACATCAGAAGGATTTTTCGCTATAGATCATACTGGTAATGGAACAATCATTTTATCTTTGAGAGGAAGTATAAACTTCAGAGATTATCTAACAGATTTAAATACCAATACCATTGATTATGAACCAGTCAATGAGAATGCCAAATCAAAATTTAAAGGATGTGAAGGTTGTAAGGTACACAAGGGATTTCATACAAGATTAGGAGAGATCGAAGAAGAAATATTCACAACCGCTGAAAAATTGGTTGAAGTTTTCCCTGACTATAATGTCGTCGTTACAGGTCATTCTATGGGTGGATCTTTAGCAATGTTGGTTGGTATTGAATTTTCGTTATTAGGTTATGATCCTTTAGTTATTGCATACGGGAATCCCAAGGTTTCAAACCAAAACCTTTCAGATTATATGGACACTTTGTTTTCTACAGATGAAGTCGAACAAGCAGTTGAAGAAGATGTACAACTTACAAGTGGATGTCTTCGTGTCTTTCATAATGGTGATTATATACCGATGCTTCCACCAGGAAACAACAAATTCATTCAAGCTGGATTGGAGTTCGTTATTACCAAAGAAGACCTTCCACACCCCAAAAGTGCAGTGGAATACGTTGGTAAAGCTCATAGAATAGTACACCCAACAGAGTTCAAATTCTCAGATCTTTTCACGTTTGATTTAGATAAAATATTCTCAACATGTGGAGTACTTCTACAAAATAGCCCAATGTGATGATATAGAGTGACGACAGTCTCAATTATATAATTTTCTGTTTCCTCCCAATCAAAATTTGTAGTTTCTCTAGCTGATATTCATTGTAAACAAGCAAATGCAAATATACTAATATTAGAAATACAGCAAAACACATGGCCTTCAAGATATTTTTGCAACGGTTCTTTAGTTACTTCATGTAATTCTGGTAATTACGTTATGTTTTATTGACGGTCACGACTCACAAACATTTGTTTTTTATTGGGGACATCTCAGTAAAAGGTAGAGGCTGGTCAGCATCGAGTCCTTTGATCTACACTAAATATGCTAGGGCATCACCTTATCAGTTAATGTTTTCTGATCTTTTCTGATGAAAATAAGCTTCGTTGTTGATTTCTTCGTTGATGTAAGTATTATGGTTAAATGCCCGCGATTGACAGAAACGGCAATCGAGAGTTTTGGCTCGAACGAACGATGAGTTATAATTTTATCACTATCAGTTTTAGTATTTAAACGGAAAAGTTTTCCTTCCCACTACTAATTGCCCAGATAAACCACATAGATTGTACGTGCTAAGATGGCCGTGGCAAACTTGATCAGTCAGACTCTTCAAGAGCTTCAGCCTAGATTGAGAACAAACGGATTTGGTATTGGTAATGCTCATAGAAAACTATCATTGACTTTTATCCCACCAAGTACAAAATCACCATTATTCCAATACGGGTCTTCACCAGGTCAAAGAAGTTTCTTATCTCTAGGTACGGATTATGAAGGACTAGGGAATGATAGAGATAGATTGGGGAGTATAGGTGAAGAAGATGAAGACGATGAGCTAGGCGGTGAATTAAGTCGAACAGTTTCATTGCCCTCTCAAATATCAGAAAGACCAGATCCAGAATTAAACTGGCTATTGGAAGAACATCATAGACATTATTCAAGCGTACATCCATCAGACGAATCAGAAGAAGAATCAGAAGGAGAAGATACCCAAGATTATCACGGTTATCAAGATGATAGTGATAGTTTTACACAATTAATGTCAAGAATAAGGCGAAACCAACATCAATTTCGTAAAAATTCAGTTACTTCAGTTGGATCAGCTGTTAGTGTTAGTCAACAAGGTGCTGAAGATTTTGATCATGAAAAGGTAACAATCAGATCTGAAATCAACAAATTATTACAATATTCAATCCCTTTAATCATAACATTTTTATTAGAACAAATATTCTCTGTTGTTTCTGTCCTTGTGGTGGGCCATATAGGTAAAAATGAACTAGCTGCAGTTTCATTAGCAACAATGACCTCAAATATTGTTTTTGCAGTTTTTGAAGGTCTTGCGACTGCATTGGATACACTCTGTCCTCAAGCTTATGGAGCTGGTGATTTATATGGTGTTGGTATTCATTTTCAAAGATGTGCCTTGATGTCAATGGCTTTATTTGTACCATTTGGAATTATCTGGTGGTTTGCTGGATTTTTTTTGAAATTTGTTGTCCCAGAACCTGAATTAGTTAGACTGGCTTCATTATTTTTGAAAGTCATGCTACCAGGTGCTCCTGCCTACATATTGTTCGAAAATTTGAAAAGATATTTACAAGCTCAAGGAATTTTTGAAGCTGGTACTTATGTGTTGCTGATTTGTGCGCCTTTAAATGTCTTGATGAGTTATTTATTAGTCTGGAACAAATATATTGGTGTTGGATTTATAGGTGCACCAATTGCAATTACAATAAATTTTTGGATGATGTTTATCATGCTTGTTGGATATACTGTTTTCATTGATGGTGATAAATGTTGGGGTGGATTCTCTAAAAAGAGTTTATATCATTGGAAAGATTTAATGCATCTAGCTATACCAGGTGTTATTATGCTTGAAGTGGAAAGTTTATCATATGAAATTATGACTTTATTTGCATCATATTTTGGTACAGAATATTTAGCAGCTCAATCTGCAGTCTCCACCATTGCCTCATTAGTTTATATGATTTCGTTCTCAGTAGGAATTGCATCCTCTACAAGAATTGCAAATTTTATTGGAGCAAGAAGAATTGATTGTGCTAAATTAGCTGCAAAAATTGGTATATATGGTGCAGTAATTACAGGTATTGTTGACTGTATTTTAATGATTGTGCTCAAAAGACCATTAGCTCAAATGTTTTCCAAAGATGAAGGCGTTGTTCAAATGACTGTTGATATTTTCCCATTAATCGCAGTGGTTCAAGTTTTTGATTCTATGAATGCTGTTGCTGGTAGCTGTTTAAGAGGTCAAGGTATGCAAAGAATCGGTAGTTATATCAACTTGTTTGTTTACTATGTTATTGGTATGCCTTTAGCCTGGTATTTTGGTTATTATTTGGACTTTAAGTTAGTTGGCCTATGGCTCAGTATAGGGTTTGGTTTGTTCTTAATTGGTGTCAGTGAATCTTGGTTTGTTTTGAATGCTGATTGGCAAAAGATTATGAATGAAGCCGATCAAAGGAAAGAAGATGAACTGGAGAATGGATCCATGGATTAATATCTTCGTACAGTATAGAATTATGTTTAGATTTAATCATGAATATAAATATGTGTATTTATTGAAAAAAATAATTAACTAAATCGAAAAAAAAATACTAAACCAAGCAACATAAACCCTTAAAATCCTATAATATAAAACAATAATTTCGTAACGCATAATAAAACCAAAAAAAACTACCTCAGTTATTTAATGGAATACTCAAAGGTGTACCAATAAGTAAGATAACACCATTATCAGCATCAATGGTTTTTTCAACTTTGATCCATTCTTGATCTTTACCATCTGTAACAGCAGTACAATAATAATCACCTTCATCATTTACAAGCTTGATGTTTTTACCATTTTGTGTAACAAACTGAACACCTTTCTTATTATCATCCAGAGCGTTGAACGGAACTGTACCATCAACAATGTGTGATTTGATAAAATCATTAATATTCTTTTGTGTTAACTCATCAATTTCTTGTTCTGATTTGGTGTCTTCATCAATACTATTTGGAAATTGCCATGGTTTCAATCCCAATGATTCAATACCAGAATCTTTTGGTGCAAAGACAATAGTTTGATCATGTTTGTTGTTGAATCTTGTGGAGATATCGACATTATCTCTAACATATGAGGCAAAAACAGAAACATCCTTCAATATTGAAAGACTTGAAGTGAGTAATGTAGGACCTTGTTGTGGTCCTTCACCTTCTGGAATATAAATCTTCTTTGGATCCATAATTTTTGGAATGGAAAATATTGGTTGTTGTTCAATACCTTGATCTCTCTTATTGATGTTGATGATTTTGTCACCTTCAGCTTTAAAACGATCGTAATCGTAAACTCTTTTAGCTAAGGCAAGGGAAATAAAGGTCAACAGTGTTAAAATTTGTAACTTCATAGTTGCTTTTAGAGGCAAATTCCACTTAACTATTCTGTATGGAAATTGTGTCAAAAATAACTTTCATTTATAGCAAAACAAAATTAAAAGCATCAGATTTTTTTGAGGGATCACCAAGCGAGCATAACCATTTCCTTAAAAAGTAAATACCGGAAGTCGGATTTCTCGGATCATGAAAAATGCCATCTCAATGCTTTTGATCCAAAACAAGAGCATCAGTGAATATTGGAAAAAGACGAGAAACCGGTCAAAGTGGGACGAGAAATAGGTATAAGCGAGTGGTTGATATATTTGAGTCATAAGGGATCATCAAAATACCTCCTAGATTTTCCAGAAGTCATATCAGAAGTCAAAAGATCGAAAAAGGGAACTTGTTTATTATCCATATCGCGTTCCGAGTTTAACACAACCCATCGCAATGAGTGAACATAAACTTTTTACAAAAGTGAGTTAATAGAACCAGTGAATGTTGTACTTCTATATATTTCATTATACTGACAAATCTAACTTTCAGGTGAGAGGGAGTGAAATCTTACAGGAATTTCAACAATCAGAAAAGAAAAAGAATGTGTCAAAGAAGAAACAAACAATGAAGAAGGTGATTGCAAATATCACAATTGGTAATTCAGAAATGGCATTGGTGTTTACAGAAGTTCTCAAACTGTTCCCAATAGATGACTTTGAGCTCAAAAAGATGTGCTATCATTATTTGAACACTTATGCATTGGTTAAACCAGATTTAGCGCTAGAAGCACTTCCATATATTCTTGCAGATTTAAAATCTAATTCTCCAGTTTTAATAGCATTGGCTTTGAGAAATTTGGTATCTGTACCTATAAAAGAGTTCATTAGAGAATCTGTTAGACCTTTAGCATTATACTTGGAAAATGAAGATCCATATTTGAGAAAAACTGCTGCATATTCCATCGCAAGACTAAATGAAAAAGATCCAAAAATAGTACAGAAAGAAGACTTTATTGCACAATTAAACCATACTTTAGGTGATAATAATCCAGCTGTTATTGCTTCGGCTCTGACTGCATTACATGATATAACGGAGAGATCAGATGATTTGAAACTAACAATTAATAGAGATCATGCAGTTAATTTGGTGGAATTACTACCCAGATGTGATGAATGGGATCAAGCATCAATTTTGAATACCGTACTTAATTTTGTTCCGGAGAAACACGAAGATGCTTTCTTGCTTATAGATAAAACAATTGCTCAACTACAACATGCCAATTCAGCAGTGGTGCTGAATGCTTTCAAGTTACTTCTTTATTTATTAAATTTTGTTGATTTTATAGAGGACCATATTCCAAAGAAATTAGCAAGCTCACTTACATCATTATTATCTAAACCTCCTGAAATTCAATTTTTGATTTTAAGAAATGTCATTTTGTTGATTTTAAGTAAACCAACACTCATACCATTTGATGTCACTGCTTTTTTCTGTGAGTATAATGACCCAATCTATGTCAAAGATACAAAACTTGAAATTATTTATCTTTTAGCTAATGAACACAATTTGGATGTTGTTCTTCGAGAATTAGAAGAATATGGTACTGAAGTTGATATTCAGATGTCTAGAAAGGCTATCAGAGCTATTGGAAATCTTGCGGTCAAATTAGAATCTGCAGCTAAACCATGTATTAAAGTATTGCTAAACTTATTATCAAATGGTATTGATTATGTTGTTCAAGAAGCTGTTATTGTTTTCAAAAACATATTAAGAAGATATGATCAATATGATTATATCGTTCCTGAAATTTTGGAACAAGTTGACCATGTTGAAGAACCAGAAGCAAGATCAGCTTTGATATGGATTGCTGGTCAATATTGTGACAAAATAACAAATCCAGAAACTCTAATTGCTGACCTAACATTTACTTTTAGGGAAGATCCTCTGGAGGTTCAACTTTCATCATTGACAGCATGTGTTAAGCTATTCTTGAGAAAGCCTCAAAGTAGTGAGAAACACGTATTGAAAATTCTTAAATGGGCCACAGAAGAAGTTAATAATCCTGATGTTAGAGATCGTGGATTCTTTTATTGGAGGTTACTTTCAATTCAAGATAAGTATCCTGGTAGTGCAAAAGATGTCATAGATAGTGAAATTCCTTTAATATCTGGTGAGAATGAAAAGCTGGATCCATTAATCTTGGAAGAGTTAGAACTGAATATTGGTACTCTAGCTTCAATTTATCTAAAACCAGTTGGTCAGGTGTTCAGACTTGCAAAGAGAAAATTTTTACCAGATAGTCCAGCAAGATCCAGAGAAGCTTCAAGAAGCTCGTCAAGAAATAGAGTCAACACGGTATCTAGCACAAGAAGTATAGCAAGCTCTGAAAACCAATTACCAGGTCATACAGAAAGACATATTGACGATTTCGATGTTCCAGCTGTTAATGTCAATCAACCAAAGAAACAAGGAAATTTAAATCGTCATATGAGCATTGCGAGAAAGTCGTCGGGTCTCTTATCAAGAAAGCTTTCAATAAGAGGAGCGTTCCATTGATTGAAATTAAATGTATGAATAAATATATGCTCTACATATTCAAGCATAACTCGTAAATTCGTAAATTAAAATGTATAGATCCAACTAGACTTTGCTTAATAGTTCATCATCAAGATCATCTAGGCCAATTTCCTCCTCTTCCTCCTTCTTCACAATGCTGGATTCAAATTTTGGGTTGGATTCAGTCAATCTTTCTTTACCTGTTATTGTGAGTTCTTTATCTTCAGATTTCACCAATGGCTCCTTTGCCTTACGCACGTCAATAATTTGAACATCACGAGCGAATTTTACAGGAGCTCCAGCAGAAACAATAGTTTCAACTTTGATTTCTGGCATATTAGGTTCAGGACCATCAGGTATATCATCAAGATTGAATTCTTTACCTAAAATGACATAAAGTATAATCAAAGCTGCGGGTTTAGATAATACCAGACTGTTTTCTTTGCAAAATGCAGCAGCAACACAATCGGGACAGCCCCAATCACAAGGACATTCCAAAACCCTTTTCAGAGCATCTTCAAGCAAAATATGAGCATGTTCAAATGCCTTAATTGATAACCCAGAACCGTGTTTACCCCCCTTTGAATCATGAAAAATCAATCTTGCTGGTCTTTTTCTCTTTGTTTCCCTTTGAGCAAATTCCTTTTCAGGTGCTTTACACTCTGTGTGAATTTCATCAACCCCACTAACAATAATAAGTGGTAATAATCCCATAATTGCATGCTGAGCAGCATGAATACCACCTGCAGCATTCAAACCTTTATAAGTGATCAAGTCTAGAGCTGTAGCTGGTATATCTATCCAAAATCCTTTTGAATGAATTAATATTGGTGGATTATGAACTTCAATGGCATCCAAAATTCTCTTATTTTTATCAACTTTAAAGAATCCAAAGACAACAATAGTGGTTAAAATCTTCCCAAAATATATAGGGACATCACTTCCATCAACAGAACGTACCAGCTCAATTTCTTTGGGATCAACATCGGTGAAATCACGCTGGCTTGTTGTCCAATCAACATCAACTCTTTCAACTTTCGCAAAATGTTCATCAGCATTGAACTCTCTAACAAGGTATGGATAACCTTGATGAATGAATATACCACCTTCATAAAGAGTAAAGCTAGTTCTTGAAGCTTCGATTTCTTCGATAACAATATTTCTATTATTGGTGATATCAACAACCGCATATTGGTCTTCTTCAATACCTCTGATGGATACATTCTTGGATGGCCATGGTAAATATCTGGTTGCACAATGATAACCATTTTCATCACTCTCTAATTTTGATAAAACTTTCTCTAGATTTGGGAAGTAATACTTATCTTCGTCTGTTATGGGTAATTCGAATGCAGCGCACTGTAAATGCCCTTCTAGTACCAATGCATTTTCGAAATCTAAAATCAGTTCTTGAAAATTCCACTCTAAAAGTAGTTCTGGGTGCTTCATATAATGTTGATCAACTGGAGCATCACTACCAACAACCAATGTTAAAGAATCTTTATTACGTCTACCAGCTCTACCACTTTGTTGATGAAAGTTTGACAACGACAACGGGAAGCCACACATTAATACCGCATCTAACCCCCCAATATCAATACCCAACTCTAAAGCATTCGTTGATATAATGGCCGATAAATTACCATGAAACATCTCTTGTTCAATTTGACGTCTATCTGAGGCAGAATACCCACCACGGTAACTCATAACTTGAGATACTAACTCGGGTTTATTCAATTCTTGAAATTTGTTTCTCACCTCTTTCATCAGCAATTCACATACTCGACGAACATAACAAAAAGCAATAGCCCTGACGTTATTCAAGACAAGTTGAACCAGAATATTTGCGGACTCTTTGATAAAATTTTCCCTCCCACTTGAAAGATCATTTGGATTTATATAAGGTGGATTCCAAACAACTAAATGCTTCTGTCCAGTTGGTGATCCATCCTCGTGAATATGTGTGATATCCTTTTCATCAACACCAAAGATATTATGCATATGACCAACAGGATCCATTAAAGTAGCAGAACAAGATATAAATTGGACATCAAAATTACCTAAAAAAGCGCACATTCTTCTTAATCTTCTCATTACTAACGCCACATGTGATCCAAAAAGTCCCTTATATATATGAAGTTCATCAATAACAACGTATCTAAGATGTAGTAAGAAATGTCTCCAAGATTGATGATTTGGTAGGATACTTGTATGAACCATATCTGGATTTGTAAAAATGACTCTAGCATTATGCTTTATATGTTGTCTATCAGAAGCATCAGTATCACCATCGTATGTGTCCACTAATGCATTTAATCTCATTTTATTCATCAGAGTTTGGAATGATCTCTTTTGATCTTGTGCTAAAGCCTTTGTTGGGAAAATGTACATTGCCGTTGCTTGTGGAACATGCTCCAATGTATCCAACACTGGAATTTGATAAATAAGTGATTTACCCGATGAGGTTGAAGTTGAAATGATGACATTTTCACCTTTATTGATTGCATTCAATGCTTCTGCTTGATGGGAGTAAAATCCATTTATCCCTAATGATGATTTCAAATTTTCTGAAAGTTCAAAATCAAGTTCTTTATAAATAGCATCACGTTCTGGTAAGACATATGAGCCGGTTATCTGATCTCTATACCTTGTTGTTTTTATATTCTCAATAAGTTTGGGTATCGTGGGTCTTTCATCGCTAACTTCGCCACTGCGTCTATCTTTAATCATTTGTTCAACGGGATCAATAAATTCCTTAGTTTGAGGTAATTTAGATTGGGCCATTGTTGACAGCTTCTCCAATGGGTCATCTCCTTCCAATGAACATTTCTGTAGGAATTCATTCAATGCAACACCAAACTTAGAATCTCTTTTAGCAATCATCTTCTTCATTGAGTCAGGTGTATATGTTGGAACTTTCATTTCAGTATAATAGGCAGACTGAGTCTTGGATTTAGTCAAATCACCATCAATGAATTCAAGAATTAGAACCTGTTCACTATTTTCCAGGTCTTTCAATTTGAACATATCAATATCATGTTGTGTATAGCCTTTGGAATATTCAAATTCTTTCTTCTCCATGGTGACCTGATTCTCATCAACATATTTGAAAACGATATCATTCGGTAGTAAAACCACAAGCTTAGCGACATCCTCATGTGTTAATTCTCTCTTGATTGTTTTCTCTACTGGCTGTTTCAATGTATCATATTTTGTAATGATGTGCTTTCTTGAAGATAAAAATGTGAAATACGAATTCAATCTAAAATGAATTTGTTCCAGCTCTTTCGCCCATGGAGGCCAATGTCCTTTTTCGACCCTCACTATTTTCTTACTCTTCTTAGCGCCACCTTCTTTCTTCCCATCTCCACTTGCTTTTCTCTTAAGTGCTTCCATGCTTGTGACAACCCCAGGCAATAACGAGTTATAGAGCCTTCGTATATTAACTTCTTTGCCACAAGCAAGAACTCACTTGAATGATTTAATAAAAAACAGGTTCTCGCACTACTTCACGGATTTTATGGGTTCCGCCCGAATCAGATTTGATTATATGCATTGTAATTTCTTGTGGAAAATATCTAAAAATACAACAAGCTTCGCCTGAGCTGGGATGACACGGATAAGTTTAACGCTACAAGGGGTCCCAAATGTATTAATAATAAGTGAAATTATCATTTATTTAATCATTATAATTACTTGAAATTATATCAACTATGTTCTATGTTATTAGTCTTCATCTATATTCATTTCTCTTTTGTTCATTACTAGTTCGTCAAATCAATTAAAAGTTGGAACTTCATGTGAGTGAATTCTCCTGCTTGATGATCTTTTTCTTGTTAAGTTTGGGATAGCCGCTGAGATATTTGTCATTCTTTCACCAGATTTCCAACCATCAAAATCAATCAAAGCTTGCATACAACCCCATTCAGTGATTTTATTCAATAACCAATCCAAATTAACAGGTTTTGTCAAATAATCATTACAACCTGCAGCTAAAGCTTCTTGTTTATCTTGTTTCATGGTACTGGCAGTCAATGCAACAATAATCACAGGTGATCTGAAAACATTCAAATCTAATTGATCTTCAGGTCTTTTAGGTTCTAAATTTTGCAAATCAGAATTAGCAAAAACACCAATTCTGTTGATTTTTTCTAAACGACGAATCTCTTTTGAAGCACCAAGACCTGACATGACAGGTAATTGAATATCCATAAGAACCAAATGAAACCCACCTGTTCTCCATTTATCAATGGCTTCTTGACCATTTTTGGCAATATCATAATGAATTTTATGTCTTCTTAAATGTGCTGATAAAATTCTCAAGTTAATCAAGTTATCTTCCACAATTAAAACATTAACACTAGGTAAAACTTTTGCCATAGTACTGTTTTCATCTTTTTTCTTCATTGAATTTGCTGATTCTGCTCTTTGAAATCCAATTGGGGCAGCTGCTGCTGAATGATTCATTTGAATTTGAGAATTTGGTGGTAAGGCAACAGGTTGATGTGGAAGCGGATGATGTAGTTGTTGATTTTGATGGTTTTGTAATTGTTGGTTCAAGTTGTTGGTTAAAGTTTGTTCACTTGTTGATGGCGATATTGTTCTATCTAATGAACGAACCGATTCAGGTCTTGAACTGGCAGACTCATTATGCTGTCTTCTTAAAGTTTCATTCATTTGTGAAAAATCTTTAGGTAATAATAGTACAGCTGAGCTATGATCAGCAGGGTTTGATTGTGACCTTCTATGATATGAGGTTGGTGTTGCTCTAAGACTAAATGGCGAATGAGATGTTGGTAGTGAGTTCATTCTTCTTGAAGACTGTAAAAATGCCAGATCTTCATCTTCCTTCTCTTCCGTTATTGTTCCATGTGAAGCCCCCCTTCTTGAAGATCCTGCTCTAAAGTCATGATTATTATTTTCAGCATCTAACAAATGATTCGGTATTTCAATAATGAATGCATTTTCCATAGTCATACCATTTGGATAATATTGATCTAAAATTGTCCATATGGATTTGTCAGCTTCCAAATAAGTAAAAGCAGGTGAATTACTTTTGATTGATAAATTTGAAAAATCATTCAAAGGTTTTTGTGATATTAATGATGAATGTTTAGTTGCAGATACAGGAATTGGTGATATTGGTGAATTAAAAGATGGTGAAAATCCACCAGAACTGCTATTACCACCCGAACTTGTAGGAGCAGGAAAAAATTTTTGATTTGTTGGTGATAATAAGAAGTTTGGCGAATTCATTATTGAGGGTTCAAGCTTTATAACCAAATCAGCTGGATCGCATGCTTTAGCTATAGTATGTGGAAATTTTTGCATAATCATAGATTTCAAATCATCAACAAGATCTGTTTCTTTGACATATAATGAAGTTGGATTCCCTTCATGTCTCCTTATCCATATCCTTCTTGTGAGTGTTTCTCTTGATGTATTTATTGTGGGTATTTGAGGTGAACCTGCTCTATAACTTTGTTGATTTTTTGTAGGGGAGCTATATTTGACCGATTGTTTGTTGCTCATAGTGTCAAATTAAAAGTATATTAATCGAGCCTTTTTGATAGTCTAAATTGTATAGAAATTGGGTATTTGATTAAACAATGATCAAAAATGATGTGAATAATTGATAAAATGAGCCTTATGGATTAACTTTAGTTGTCTTGACGATCAAATTTCTATCTTTAAACGCTAATCTAGATGATAATTTGTAAATTTTTCCTTTGTTGAGAAGTTGAGGATTGCCGAAAGGTGTGTGTTTCAGATAGTTGATTGGCGAGCTTATAAGTTGCAATTGGCAATGGGAATTTCACTATATCAGCCTAACTTAGTTATGTATTCTTAAAGTGCACTCTATCTTCCAATTTGCCTGATATTGTTTACCTTCACTTGTCTAAAATTCCACAGCTCTTCCTCTTTTGATACTTTGAACAGAAAAAAAAAACAAGGTTGAACATTTCTGACTAACTCCTTACATAATATAAAAGACTCAAAAAAGTTCGCGACTTTTTTGGGTGTGTCAAGAACTATACTAATAG